CAACATACGGCATACGTAAGCTAAGTGATGGATCACTTATGATTGGTGATTCACCAATAACTCTTGAAGATCAGCATGTAAAAATTCGTAATAAACGATATCTTCAAACGCTTGGATTACTTGAACTTTTATTTAAAAGTAAACCTACTACATCGCTTATAAGTGAAGATGATGAAAGAAACTATAAAGAGATTCTGATTGCTACTAATGCACACAAAAAGAAGTATAGTTCCTCTGAATCTATACGTACGGATAAGAGTTACAAGTATTTGAATTTTATATCTCAATTCTTCCCTCGAACACCTACCAAACGGTCATCTGTAAGCGGTAGTTCATTACCTAAATTTATGATTACAAACAAAAATTTTCAACGAGAATATATCTATTGGGATGATCCAAATGAGTTGGTTGACTGTCTTAGACTATTAATGGCTTCTCAAGCTGCTGGAAATCCTAGTCACAATAATGAAATCATGTCTATCATTGAGGAACTACGTGAAGCTAAAATTATATATTAAGATGTGTTTTAGCAAATATCATTCATTTCAACAATGAGCATTGACGTGTTCGGACATCCTCTCACTCAAAGAGGAACAGCAAGACGAGGGCCTCCTGGAGTTGGTTTTAAACTTAATTCTCAAGGTAACTTTGACGTTGAAGGAAGAAAACTCTTTAATCTTGCTGACGCAGAAGAGCAACACGACGCAATAAATTTAAGACTTGCCCAACATATTATACGAAACGAGATAAAACCTGTTATTCAAATTACATCTTCTTTAAGATCAGCTATTGATGACTTGAATAATTTTATTCTAGTTATTGAAGCACGAGTTACCGAAAAACTTAAAGAAATTGAATCACATCAAAATTATATTATCAAAGAGGCTAAATTTATTCAACAGTGATGGCTGATAAAAAATTAACAGTAGTGAATGAACTTCATACTCAGGCTAGAAAAAATTATCCTCGACGGCGAGTTGAAATGCGTGATATTGATGAGACCTGGCAAGAAGATTTAGTAGAAATGATACCTTATTCAAAAATAAATAAAGGTTTCAAGTATTTACTAACAGTTATAGACATATTTTCGAAATATGCTTGGGCTGTTCCAGTAAAAAGTAAAAATGGAAAAGATGTTTCTCATGCAATGCAATCTATATTTGCTAAAAAACGCATACCAAAAAACTTGCATAGTGACAAAGGAAAAGAATTCTATAACTCACAATTTGAATCATTAATGAAAAAGCATAAAATAAATTTTTATTCAACATTCAGTAATATGAAAGCTTCCATTGTTGAACGGTTTAATCGAACACTAAAAAGAAAAATGTGGATGCAATTTAGTTTACGAGGAAATTACAAGTGGTATGATATATTGCCTACTCTTATTTCCAACTATAATGATACAAAACATAGAACAATTGGAATGAAGCCTAAAGATGTTACTTCAGAAGACGTTGAAATTTTAAAAGAAAGGATCTTTAAACTGAGAAAAATTCCTTTAAGACGACCAAAGTATAAAATTGGTGACAAAGTTCGAGTAAGCAAATATAAAAACGTTTTCGAGAAAGGATATACACCCAATTGGACAACAGAAATATTCACCGTGGATCAAGTTGTATCAACTCAACCAGTGACTTACAAGCTCAAGGATTACCAAGATCAACCCATCAGCGGAGGATTTTATGAAGAGGAACTTCTTAAAGTAAAATATTCAGATATTTATCTTGTGGAAAAAATTCTCAAGACACTTGGAAACAAAGTTCTTGTCAAATGGCTTGGCTTTGATAATTCTCACAATACGTGGGAAAATAAAGCAAATGTATAATCTATTATTCGCAAATCGTCCCCAGTAACTTAACGCAAATGTCAATCAACCAGCAAATCAATCAAAGATTAATGTTAGCGTAGAACCTCTCTATAAATCAAAACTGCTTCCAACAACAGACCTTTACACTGCCAGTGCTAAATTTAATTTAGATTAAATCAATAATGAATCAATAATGAATCAACAATGAATCAATAATGAATCAACAATGAATCAACAATGAATCAATAATGAATCAACAATGAATCAATAATGAATCAACAATGAATCAATAATGAATCAATAATGAATCAATAATGAATCAATAATGAATCACACAGGCCTGCAAATTTTGGCTTAGTTCTGTTACAGAAAAAGTGGTAGGTGATTCTTATAGCTTTTTTGACGTAGAATACGAATCCGATTTCCAAAATGGCCCATCACGTCAGGATTTCTTGTAATATTGCCTTAAATAGCCAAAAATGGCTATTTTGGCCACTTTTCGGAATTTTTTTTGGTTAGACAAAATTTTTTTTTTCAATTTGCAAAATTGCATCGTATAGTAATATATCTAAGCTTTAAAACCCATTTTTCAAAATTGCTTTACGATTTTTTAAAACAAAGTTATGTAGATTTGAAATTAAATGCCATTTTGAACTTCTTTATACCTACATTTTCCTAAATAAAAAAATTTCAAATCTACATAACTTTTTTTTTAAAAATCGTAAAGCAATTTTGAAAAATGGGTTTTAAAGCTTAGATATATTACTATACGATGCAATTTTGCAAATTGAAAAAAAAAATTTGTCTAACCAAAAAAAATTCCGAAAAGTGGCCAAAATAGCCATTTTTTGGCTATTTAAGGCAATATTACAAGAAATCCTGACGTGATGGGCCATTTTGAAAATCGGATTCGTATTCTACGTCAAAAAAGCTATAAGAATCACCTACCACTTTTTCTGTAACAGAACTAAGCCAAAATTTGCAGGCCTGTGTCATTATTAAATCAGTTGGCACTGGCATTGTGAAGGTCTGTTGTTGGAAGTAGTTTTGATTTATAAAGAGATTCTACGCTAACATTAATCTTTGATTGCTTTGCTGGCTGATTGGCATTTACGTTAAGTTACTGGGGGCGATTTGCACATTTAAATTATATTACATTAATATAAGTTTTAATCATATGTTATTATGTATATATGGAAGGATTTTTTAAATAAAAACACATGGAAATTGTATATAATTGCATTATTTATTAACAAACCTTTTATTTTTTTACAATTATATTTTACAAAATCATTCGTCGATTTTAGGGATCGCATAATGTCCCCACGGTAGAGTGTCGGTACTCCCCGGTAACAAATACCGTTTGTCGTCTTGCGGACTTAAAGCTACTTTAATTTGTTTTACAGTCTCGAGGTTGTGTAGTCGCGATCTTATATTATACTGTGTTCGAGTTTGAATGTCGAAATCTCGCAGACATTTTACATAATCATCAGAGTGAATCGATTTTTTCACAACGCCGGATTTAATACCTTTAGCTTTTTTAATAAAATCTTTACCTTCAACCCGTACGCTGTACATCTTACTCCGCAAGCCAACAAATTCGGTAACGATCTTACCGTTACATTCGTCTTTCATTAGACCGAGAATCTTTTTGTTGGCTTGCGGAATGCCGTACACGTTGTTTGCGGGATAGTCTGACGTATCGAACTTTTGGATGTCATTTTTCATATCATTGTAGACATCTTTACATTTAATTTCGTAGATTAGACTGTCTGTATCGGTATACATCAGTTTACAATTGTCGCCGTATTTTTTTAACATATACCCGTAGTGAAAATCGTAGATTAGCGTTTTGGATACATCAAGCACACTTAACCCCACATAGATCGGTTTGTTGAGTAGTACCTCGGTTTTACGCAGTTCAATGGCAACCAGATTTTCGTCGAATATCGCTCGACTATGGAAATTCGGGCGAGAAATAAGGACTTCAGCTCCATAGCGGCCAAACCATTGGGTGACAAGCTTAATGTCGACATGTTTACGAACATTTTCCATTGTTTTGCCGTACACAGCGTTGTTCATGAGCTTGAACAAATTTTTCTCGAACTCATTTTTGGCATTGGTTCGCATCATTGTATTATAGTCTATGTATGGTTTAAGCCATGTTGATTGCTTAAACAGTAAGACTCGATGAATTTTAACAAGCTTAATGCCGTTGGCGACAACTTGTTTTAAAGTGCGGTAGTGGATCACATATTTTTCTTTTGGTTGGAGAGTTGTTAATAATTTCTCCTGTTTCGAGAGGGGTGGTTTCGCATTTTCTGCGCAAAATGGCATGTCTTTGTGAGTATCGTGGAGATTTTCAGGATACTCCAAGTCAACTTCGAGTATGTATCCAACAGGTGAATCGTCGGATACATTAAAATTGAAAGAGTTGTCGACATTTTCAACCCATTTAAAGCCGCCATAAGGGAGCGCTTGAGCCATTGCCCAGCCATATAAATTGTTGGCGTCAAAGTACATGATGTAGCTAGTATCTTTGCTATCATCGAAATTTTCCATATATTGATTATTCGCTATAGTATATCGGTTGCAGCATTGACTTATGCCACCTCTAATACCGGACTCAACAAACATAATCATATCGATATCGGTTATTAGTTGCAATCCTATTTTCGTGTACTTGAGCATAGCATCCCAAGTTAAACCGGGGGTTGTGTAGTAGTGGGCAGGATCTAAACCATACGCTTTTACACATTCTACTCGGAAATTTTCAAAGACGTCCGCAAGTAACAATACATCAGTTTTCATATACAAATGGACATAGTCATATAGATTTTTACAGTCAAACTCGGTCCATACATTCTGCGCATGCGCATACTCATCATCAGAAATACCAGCGTCATACAGAGTACTATAAAATTTCTCGATCGGGGGCAATTCTGTCTCATCTAACTTACTTTTCGAGTCAAAGTATTCATAGGGGAATACACCCTTGCGCGTCAATAATTTAATTTTATCCGGATCTGTCACCGTACTGGCAAAAACGGAGCTTACAATTTTATACTCGTCTAGGTATGATGCGAGTTTTTCTAGGGATGCTGCCATGAATCGCAATGAGTCAATGAATCGAAAATTGACCTTACTCCCCTTGACGTGTTTAGTAAAAGAGATATACTTCTCTTTATTAATGGGGAGAAGGTCAATTTTTCCTTCAAAGCTCGTAGAAATCGCGTGAATTATAAAATGGGCGTCGTAACCGCTTAAATTGTGGAAGACTACGGGGATCGTTTGACAATCTTGATAGTTTAAATTGCATGATTCATGGGCAGCACCCCTATATTTGCCAGTAAGGTGACAGTGATCGCGGACTTTCTTCTCGCTTGCCTGTATTTTCTCATGACAAATGTGACATTGTCGCTTGCTTAAAATCATTGATTTCTTGAGGAGTTAAAGCAGTCATCGGTAACGGATTTTTAAAAACCTTATTCATTTTCTCTGCAATCTGCTTTAACTCCTCAGCAAACCATTTCGCAGGGTCAGATTCATTTTTCGAACACGGCACATATTTACATAATGATTCGTCGTAGCTACATTTGATATAATATCCGATGCTTAACAATTTGTGACGCTGGAAGACTTCAGTCTTACTTAAATTGTCTACATCTTCATCCGCTGGAAGAAGTAGACTTTCACAGTCGGCGTAAATTACATATGGCACCTTTTCTTTATTCTTAAAATTTTTAAATGTGATCAGACTCTTGTCAGGCGTCGGTAATTTAATTTTACACTCATTCATTTTTTTACAATTTTCAATGTGTGCGTTCAATCTTTCAACACCTGAAAAGTAGTGTAAACAACGGTCATAGATATGTTTTCGATGTGCCTTCTTCGATAATTGTTTAGACACTAGGCGTGACAAATCTTTAATCCACACATAATGGAAGTTCATAAAATCATCGTTGTCATACAATACAGTATTATCATCATTATTTTCATCCGCATACATGTCGGCAACATATAAGAGATGTACATGCTTATCTCTTTTTTCCGCAGTAAGATGGAGAGGGTGTACCGTAAAGTTACCATAGCTCTTTGATAGACCGTAGACATTAATCGAGACACCATTAAGCTTTTCAAATTTCGGGATATTTTTAAGCGTCACTGGAAATTCAATTCCATCAAAGTTCAATTCATCTTTAAATTCTTTATAACTGGTAACGCGCTCAGGATGTGATACATTTGGATGTAGGGCTGACAATACTGCCCACTTGAAACATTGATTATCTTTATTTTCAACATTAATGCATGCATGCTTGTTTTTTATTTGTGGAGGTAAACCGATGTAAGAGCTTGCACGCATTGGATTATATTTATTTACATTGATTTCAAGCCTTATAATCGATTGAAGGTTCCAATTCGAACCTTTCGAGTAAAACTCTTCAACACTATGTAGAATCGGCTGCTTAATGTACTGCTCGAACCAATCATCTAAAAGGGTTGTAGAGAAGATGTTGTTGGCCTTGGTTCCAAAAGGAATCGGCTTTACAACTTCTTCGCCATTCTCCACCCTCTTGAAGTTTGCGATGAGTACGCCGTACACGACGATGGGTCCATTCTTATTTAAAGCACCTCTAATATGGTCTTGAAACAGTGTGGACCCATCGTCTAAAAAGGCGCTTATATCAATGTGTACAAGATTTACAATCACATTAGTGTACAGTCTACACGCAAACGCACTCTCACATTCTTCCCAGCGCACACGTTTATTGATATCTGGGTCACTAATTCCAGCGCCATCTACAATATGGGACTCAAATAATGCGCGAAACCTTATGATGGATTGTAGAATGCTCACACATCTTTTCTTTTGATGTGTGAAGTACATCGATTTAAGAATGCTCGATAACACGTTTTCATGTTGTGAGCATTCTACAACCCATCTCTCAACGAATGAACGTCTCAAATTGACGTCGTCTAAAAGAGGAATCAACTCTAGAGCCTCCTTGATGAGAGTAACAGTTACGTCACTCTCATTAAGGATTGTACCGTAATTTGGATGCTTACGTGGTCCATCGGTGGTCTTCGCCTTACGCTTCATCTCTGCACCTGAAATTAAACACTTACAAGCTAACAAAAAGAATAAAGAACACACTTACAAGCTAACAAAAGAACACACTTACAAACTAAAAAAGAACACACTTACAAACTAACAAACTTATACTAAACAAAACGAACTTACAAACTAAAGAACTTAACCTACAAACCAATACAAAGTAAATGTAACAAAAAAGACAGTAAATATAACAAAAAAGACAATTAGTGATGGCAAGGGGAATCTGCTGTTGCTGCTGCTGTTGGAACCGCTGAATCTGTGAACAGAACAGCTACTGACTAAACTCGCCAAAATCCCTGAATATATACCCCGAAATCCCCACTCCTACCTTCACGCATGCGCACTAGACCATTTACCCTCACTACAACCTATCACGCATACCCACTCTTAAATTTTCCCCCACCTATTCACGCATGCGCAATACTCTTACTCTAACGCAGTCTAATTTCTATACAGGATACGCAAAATAAATATACTAATTTATAAAAAAATAAAAATTTATTAATTTTTAAAAATAAAATTTAAAGTTAAATTTAAAATTACGCGCCGCCGTCGATGGCAGCGACGCCGACCGTGAGCAGGCGGCGGCTGCGCCTCTGGTGGAGGTCCCGCCGGCTCTCTCTCCTCCACCCTGGGCTCGGGAGACTGCGCCCTGGGTATCGGCGACCTACACCGTGGCGGACTTCCTGGCGGGGTTGTAGGCAGCCATTCCACCGGTGTAGGCGACCTGGGTGGGGTCCCCAACTGAATGAAGGGTGGGGGAGACTCCGGTTCCATCCTGGGTTGAGGTGGTGTCGGCGGTCGTTCCACCAACGCCCAGGGTGGTGAATATGGCCGCCACATAGGGTACATGGCGTGCAGCGGTGACACCTCCGATGTCGGCGACCTGATGTCCACCGAAGGTGGTAGCGGATTCACCACCTGGTGCCACTGTGACTGGGTCGACCCTGGAGGAGTTGCGGGGAATGGCACCTCGTTACCTTCATGCTGCAACTGAAAAATATATTATATTATAATATAATATATTATATTATATTATATTATATTATATTATATTATATTATATTATATTATATTATATTATATTATATTATATTATTATATTATATTATATTATATTATATTATATTATATTATATTATATTATATTATATTATATTATATTATATTATATTATATTATATTATATTATATATATTATATTATATTATATTATATTATATTATATTATATTATATTATATTATATTATATTATATATATTATATTATATTATATTATATTATATTATATTATATTATATTATATTATATTATATTATATTATATTATATTATATTATATTATATTATATTATATTATATTATATTATATTATATTATATTATATTATATTATATTATATTATATTATATTATATTATATTATATTATATTATATTATATTATATTATATTATATTATATTATATTATATTATATTATATTATATTATATTATATTATATATATATTATATTATATTATTATTATATTATATTATATTATATTTATATTATATTATATTATATTATATTATATTATATTATATTATATTATATTATACTCACATTGTACTCAGATACCATCCTCACGAGGCAGTGGTAGCACCGGCAGCTCTCCATCTTAGACCGCTCCATGCCTCTCCGCGATCTGGAATGAGCTCTCTACTGCGTGTTAGTCACCCTCGTAGGGCTCTCTCCCCGCCAAGCGGTTCCCCCACTACGCGCTCACCCCACCGTGCACTCTCATTAACCTGTATGTGCGGTGGCTAAGTGAAGCTTCTTAAATTCAACACACCGTCGGTAACGCGCGAAATTTGAATATGAAAAACGCAAATTACTAATAAGGTATAATTGATATGATATATATTAGAGTTGTGCAAAAAGCTCGATCGAGTATTTCAAGCTTTTCGTTTTTCTAGCAGAGCTGAGCAGAATCAATCCGAACTTGAACCAAATTCCATCCGACACGTGCAGTATTAAACCTAAAATAATTTTGAGCACTTGAATTTTTCGAGCACTCAAATATTTTTGAGTAACTAAAACTCGAGCCTGGCTCGAGTATCGAGCCCGGCTCGAGCTCGACCATGCTATTCGAGCTTTTTGCACACCTCTAATATATATACCTTATTCTATTAATAAATAAATAAAATTATTAAAAATATTAAATAGTTAATTCTGAGCAACAAGTAAAAAAATAAGTTAAATGAAACTTAATAGATAATTAATTATTAATATTATTGTAAAAAAATTTTGTAAATAAATTTATGTTATAATAAATTAAAATAAACTAAATATTCATATTAATTTAAACTTAGTTTTAAATGTATATTTTTTAAAACTAAATTAATTTTAAAAAAAATAGTTTTAGTAAAATATAACAGTTTTTTAACCTAAATATTATAAAGCATTTAAAAAAGAATTTACAGAAAACCAAAATTTTTAATAACAACTTATTTATTTTTTTTATTTACTTATACAAATGCTTACGAAAATATATATGTATAAAACAATTTCATATAATATACAATAGAAAAATAATATTATAAAACGTTTGTAAAAACATAACAAAAACATATTTTTTATTACGGAAAAAACAATTTAAAAAAACCTTTTATAAACTGAACTCATGCAATATAAATACTTCAAAACAATAAAAAAATAAAAATATTTTTTTCAAATATCATTTAGGAAAAAAAAGTGATTAAAAAACCAAGTAAAATAAAAAATAATTTAATTCTTTAAAAGAAAAAAACTAAAAAAAAACATAGGGTAAGTGTGGGTATTCCTGGGAGTGACACAATTATTGCGATTTTTAAAAAATTATTATTTTCATTTTGAAATATACCCCTAATTTTTTCAAAATAATTACAAAAATTAGTTTAAATCTTACTTGATAGAATAGCTCATAAAAATGTGCATTCCGACAATTATTAATTTATTTATTTAAACTTGAAATATATTATGACAGAATTCTGTGAAATTATCAAATATGTCAGTCATGAATGCATATTAAAAACCATTGATTTTTCCAATCTTCACTTTAGCATACATGTTTCAGTGTTACTAATGAAAGAAGTACACTTTATTATTTGAAAAATATATTTATTTACCCATCTTTCATTGATTTTCAATTAATAATACTTAAAACCATATTAGTAGCAGAATTTTTACTGCATGTTAGTATTATTGCGATTTTCAAATACGTTTACTGCTCAACGCATACTAAACATAACCTCTTTTTTGACAACCAGCGCGATATGCGACACCTGATTTTCTGCAATAATACTCGCACAATAATTGGTATTTCCTTCATAAATGTCACACAATAATACTCGCGCGTCAACAATAATACATGTGTTGACAATTAGTTTTTAATTTACTTTTTTAAATACAAATAATTAACGAAATTTGATTGAGTTTAATCATTTGGAAAATATAATAATTGAACTTTAATTTGTAATTAAAAAAACTGCATTTCATTTTTTCGTAAACTTAGACGAGCTTCTCAAAGTTAACCTACACTAAAAATTCACAGAAATACCCACACTTACCCTATTTTAAAGAAAATACAATTGAAAGAAAACAACTGTATTCTGAGATTACTTACAGAAATAAAAACAAAAAACATTTTTTTCATTTACGAAAAAAAAGATTGAAAAACCTAGTAGAATAAAAAATGATTTAATTCTTTAAAAGAAAAAAAATTAAAAAACCTTTTTTTTAAGAAAATACAATTGAAAGAAAACAACTATATTCTGAAATTACTTAAAAGAAATAAAAACAAAAATATTGTTTAATTTTAGGAAAAGAAACGATTGAAAAACCTAGTAAAATAAAAAATAATTTAATTATTTAAAAGAAAGAAACTAAAAAAACATTTTTTAAAGAAAATGCAATTGAAAGAAAACAACTATATTCTGAAATTACTTAAAAGAAATAAAAACAAAAATATTTTTTTTCATTTAGGAAAAAAAACGATTGAAAAACCTAGTAAAATAAAAAATAATTTAATTCTTTAAAAGAAAAAAACTAAAAAACCTTTTTTTAAAGAAAATACAATTGAAAGAAAACAACTATACTCTGAGATTACTTACAGAAATAAAAACAAAAAAATTAAAAAGAAATTAATGCCTCTTTCTCGAGGATGCAGTTGCAAATGTTGAATTTGCCTTTGTCAAACGACGACCTCTATTTCCTCGAAGGGGACGAGCATTAATGTGAATAGCACGCCGCGGTGCTGGTGGCAATTGTCGCCGAGCTGGCACTGGTGGCAATTGTCGCGGTGCTGACACTTGTGCCAATTGTCGCGGTGCTGGCACTGGTGGCAATTGTCGTGGTGCTGGCACTGGTGGCAATTGTCGTGGTGCTGACACTTGTGGCAATTGTCGCCGAGCTGGCACTGGTGTCAATTGTCGCGGTGCCGGCACTGGTGGCAATTGTCGTGGTGCTAGCACTGGTGGCAATTGTCGTGGTGCAGGCACTGGTGGCAATTGTCGTGGTGCGGACACTTGTGGCAATTGTCGCCGAGCTGGCACTGGTGTCAATTGTCGCCGAGCTGGCACTGGTGTCAATTGTCGCGGTGCTGGCACTGGTGGCAATTGTCGCGGAATATGTGCAATGCGTCGACGTGGCGCTGGTAAGGGTGCTTCTTCCACCACCGGTAATGGTCTATCTTTTAGACCAACCGGTGGTGTTCTCATAATCAACTGAGGCCGAGTGTGGGTGCGGATGTAATTACCTACGGCCTCAGTTGATCCGTTGACGACTGGAATAGGCCGAGTTGGCACTATTAGAGCCTCCTGCTCTAACTCCTCCATTGGAATGGGAATATCTTCCAGGATGATATCCTCAATTAAATAATCGTCAATTCCCAGAACCTCGTTTATTAAATCATTAGGAATTTCACCTAAATTTTCACCTGCGGGGGGTTGATCCCACCTCCTTGGCGGTCTTAGAAACAGATCAGGTCGTTCTGGGTCGTATGTTTGATATTGCATTCTCTCCAAAACACCGTTCATTTGATTCTGAAATTTATAACAATAATATATAAACATAGAATATGATTGTTTAAATCTATAAACTAATTGTAAAGTTTAAAAAAAATTTCGTTAAGTTATAACGTTGGATGAATGAAAAATAGTATAAAAATAAAATATAAATAGTATAAAATAAGGTCTGATATTTCATAAAACCTTGACTGGTGACTTTAAGATTAATTTTAATATTTTATAATAAACAAATATTTATAAAAAGATACATTAATAGGTTTAGATTTATAATTTAAAAAATCACTTTAAGTTAAACTTTAAATAGAAAACAATTTTCACTCATGAATTTGACATGTGAGGTTAGGTTACACTCACAAGTCTTTCCACTCACAAGTCTCAAAGAAAAAACGTATAAGATTAATATTCATATTTGTCAGATTCTAAAAAAAGGAACATAAATTTATTTATAAAATTATTCTACAATAAGACTATAATAATATTAATTAAACATTTATATCATACTTACCATAATTAAAATATTTTTAATATAAAATACAATGAGGGTAAACTCTGTGAAGAGATACCAGGATGCACTCCCTTTGCGGAAACTTCCTGCTATCTTGGAGAGACACATCGACCTCCACGTCCGAACATACATGTTCACGTGCCCTTGGATATCATAGACGTCGCATCAATGCTCCGGCAATGCTATAACGTCTATGTAACTAACGGAGGCTGTTCAGGGCCCATCTTGGCCAGATGGTAGTACCCTGTTTAGGCTCGATCGTTCCCTCGATACGGGACAAACATTAAGTATGAGCGATTGTAAAAACGAGGAGTACCTGCGGGGTAATGCTTCGGCTAAATCCCTCACTGGTTCCGATCGTCAAGCGCTTTCGAGCGTGAGGGCGGTGGCCAGTGGCCCATGGATGCAGGAGGGCAACAACGCGTTGGGAGTTCCACAGATCATCGTGGATAGGGTAGAAAGAAGAGGAAGTACAAGCAGCGTGACAAGCCAGGTCAGTGGCATTTCTGTCTTCAGTAATGCTTCGGCAAAGGACATTGCAAGCTGCAACCAAGATCGAGATGAATGTATTAAGCTGCGAGAGGAAGAGGCAACATGCATTCTAGCAATGGAGGAAGCGGTGAACAAGATGATGAAGTCCTGCGAGGTCCAAAAGAATGTCAATATGACAATCAAGGATGGACTCAAAGGCATGAAATCGCTCATACAGGAGATCAAGGAGAAGCACGCAGCAGCTACGAAAAAGGATGAGAATCTCTACCAGGGATTAACTTGGTCGGAAGAGGCCAGACAGGATCGTAGAGTTAGACGAGATCGTTGTAACGCGATCGTGTTGAGAAACGTCGTCTTGGATGCTCAGAAACGAAAGAGAAGTGATCCTGAGCTTGCGAAGGATCCAAAAAGGAAAAGGGAGGAGGGACCTTCTAAAAGGTCCAAAGGCAAGGAGATGAAAACGGCACCAAAGCCAATTTCAGATAAGAAGGGAAGAGCCACAATGGTCGTCAAAGTGGCTGAAGGATCTACCTTTGCCGAAGTGCTAGCGAAGGTTCGAAAAGAGGCTGACTTGGAGGCCAGCCAGACAAGGGTTGTGGGAGCTGTACCCACTAAAAAGGGAGACCTCCTTATTAAAATTGGGGGGTCTTCGAACAAGAAGTTGTTCACCGAAGAGGTGACAAAGGTGATCAGCGATCTAGGTAAGGTGCAGATGGCGGATCGTCAGACTGTGCTGGAGATCCGCGACATGGACACCCTTACCGAACAGGAGGATGTCAAAGAAGCCCTGGACAAACTATCTACGGTGCCAGCAAAAAGCAGGAAGGTGACGGTCCTCGGACCAAATAAGCGAGGTATTAAGCTCGCTGTCGTGGTCACCTCCCAAGAGGACGCTAACAAGCTGGAGAAGATAGGGCACATTAAAATCGGTTTTGTGTCCTGCAAAATTAGTAGGAGAGTTATGGTCACAAGGTGTCACAGGTGCCTTGACTATGGCCATATAGGCAGAGATTGCCAAGCGGTAGATAGGTCGGCTGCGTGCTTCAAGTGCGGAGAAGCCGGCCATAAGGCAGCAGATTGTAAGAAGAGCCC